TTAAGAATAATCTTAAACCATTGAAATATATAGATGCTGACTATATACCTTGACATGTGCAATCTCAAATTACACATCTGAAAAGATGTTGGAATGTTATCTTTTTTTTTCTGAAAATAACTATAAAGTAACTTTAAAATTATTGAGATGATAGTAACCTCATCTAAATTTCAAAATATTTTTTAATCACAAAGAAAACATTGGCAAACTTAAGAAAACTATGAGCACAATCAGTGCTTTGGGACCTTAGAGAATGGTCCGAGATTAATTATCTGATAAAAAATAGCCATCAACCATATCTATCTAATTTTCTAAGCACATTTCTTTGGGAAAATAAGTACAAATTAGAAAGATTTTTTAGGTAAGAATAGAAAGAAAAATTCAACTAGTTAAAAAAGGAACTTTCCAGTTTCATCTCTCCCTTCAGCATCTGAGTTTTATTTTAGATATTCAAATTGTGCAGGTGTTGTTTTTCACACTGGGGCATTTCCAGATGTCTGGCTGAGCAAAACCTTCTGAAAACCACTTCTGCATTATCAGGAGCTATAAATTTACCAACCATGTTTTCTTGCTTCCTAAAATAGCTTTCCCTTGTGACCTACTTCCTGCCATCTGCTCCAGGTGTCTAGGCACCCTTGCTGCCATCTTAGCTCCAACTCAAGGCTGTCTTATCTAGCCATTAATAAAAATTTTAAAAAAACAAGTTTGATTTATTGCATCAAAACTTAGTTTTGCTTTAGGGGAAGTGACAGTGCCATATTTTGCTATGCCAAATATCTCAAAAAAATGTCCACAATGGCATGATTGTAAATTGAAGGATAAAGTTTTTAAACACTTTGCAATTAAAAAAACCCCACAACCCTATTATACTTTATAATTTCTCAAAATTTTAAATAACTCTTTACTGTTTCCTCAAGACCCATTACACATGCACCCTCTCTTTAATATTTATTAAATAGATCTCTTAATATGAAGAAATCATTTTCCTCATAAATAATGTCCTCATAAATCAATCCTCCCCAAGAAAATCCTATTCAGGAGACCTGAGTCTTTGCTCCCTACAAGACTGTGAAAAGTCATCGAAGCAATAATTGTACGTCTACCTACTGGCTCTACGAGTTGAGACAATAGTTACAGATACACATCTTAAGTTTCAGTCTATCAGAGAATATGATTTTGGACTATATTCCAGCCAGCACACTTGTTTCTATATACACCTTACACAATTCCACAAATATTAAGGCTCCAACAACTGAAAATCTACTTTGATTCAAACTGTACAGCACAAAGTATTCTCAACACCTTCAAATCCTTCCATTCTCCCAGGAATAACACTTTCCATAAAACTGTCCACATTGAATACAGATAAAAGGCATTGGAAAAATCATGAAGGCACTCCAACTTCTGTAGTTACGGTTCCACTCTGGCCATTTCCTTTCCAAGGTACATATCCACTGACCAGCCATAAGACTTAGAAAACCCCACATGTACTAGCAGAAAACAAAGACTCCAAAGGGCTGTTTCTTACCTGAAGAGACGGTGACCATGGTTCCTTGGCCCCAGTAATCCAAACCATAGTAGTCACAATAGTAGAATTGCCTTCTCCATACCACAAAAACAGATGCCAGCCCAGAGAATTGGCCACCAGATAGTCAAGTCACATCCTCTCAACCACTGATGATAATCATTTGGTCCCCTGTCCCAGGACCCTCTGTGGGCACTGATAGGAGACTCCATATTCTGACTAGTCCTTTCCAGATCATGACTTCAGATTTTTAGGTCAAATGTGACCCTGGACAAGAAACTGTCAGAAAGTAGGTGCAAAAGTCCCATTCCTACATAGAGTCATGAACCCCTGAGCAACACCAAAAGGCAGAGAATTGTCATTCATAGACACAAGAAGCCACCTTGTCTTAATACCTACAAATCACTGATTAGTAATTCCAGGAGAAGAGGGGGATTGGGTCTCCCTCTCCTGACCTCCATCTCTTTCTGAGATGGAGATTTTGTTCCCTCAGTGCCCTCCAACTGCAGTTAAAATGCTATACTCAGAGAGGAAGAGGTGAGGACTCACCTGAGGAGACGGTCACCATTGTTCCTTGGCCCCATACATCAAACCAGTTGTCACATTGTGGTAATTGTATACTGGACCCAACCAAGAATTGACACCCAAGAACAGATACATTAAAGACCTCTAGACTATCTCAAATTGAGTTCAATGAGTATCAAGAGGGAAGAAGGGATTCTTGAGGACAAAGGTTGTCTGAAGTCCCCCAAAAAATTCCAGCTGCAGAGCCCAGAAGGAGAGAGTGACAGCAGTCTCCTCTCATTGTCTCATGAAACGTGGTCCCTCTACTGACTCTGTCTGAGTGTCCTAAGACTATCCCCAAGATGTTGTGTTCAGAGACCCAGAAATCTCATTTCTCTTTTAAAAAAACAGCAGAACAGTCAGAGGAAGGTAGGAGAGATAAGTTGAAAGGACTCACCTGAGGAGACGGTCACCATTGTCCCTTGGCCCCAGTGGTCAAAATAATCACATTGCTGCATGCCACATTAGGGGGGTGTGCAAAAACCTGACCAACTCTCTTTTTGAGTGCCCAGTCCAAAAAGCCCTAGGTCTTCATGTCCCAAAACATGAAACATGACTGTCCAGAGTCTCAGGAGCAGGGAACCCATGTCCCTGCAGAAATGTTGTTTGTAGAAAACTAAACCATATACTAATAGCCTTTGATGTAGCTCTGAGAGCCCTGAAAGGCCTCCAGAGATCAAAGACTTCTAGAAATTTTTTCCCCCAGCACCAGGACAAAGAAAACATGTATAGGCCAAACAGGCAGAGAGAAAGATGACTTACCTGAAGTGATGGTGATCTGTGTGCCCTGGCCCCAGAAACCAAAAGCATCACACAGAGAGAGTCCCTATTCTTGCCCTAACATAAACTCAGAATCCTTCTATGTTCACCACACCCTGGCCATGTCACACAGATCCAGGGCAGAAGGGATCTCAGGAAGGGATGCAGTTGACTTACCTGAGGAGATGACGACTGAAGTCCCTGGACCCCAGATGTCGAGATAGTCATAGACACACTGATTAGAGTGCCTGGCTCATCAGCACAAAACCACCCAGACTGTGATACTCCCCGGCTCAACAGAGAGAGTTAATTGTTGAGCCATAAAAACCAGGGTGCACTGGCAGGTCCATAGAAACTATACCATGTTCTGTTCTCTGCAGTTGGGGTAGTGCTATCAATTGAGGAGGGAAGTTCCCAATACCTGAGCTCATAGTTTCCATCACGGGAACCATACCTCAAGGTCTTACTGCTTCTTCACCTTAATGCTCTGATGGATGCCTAGACTAGAAGGATGCACCCGCTCTGTAAACATAGCCTCCTTTACTCCTCTTCTCTGTTTCCCAGCTTCCTTTTCAGGATGGAGCCTCTGTATGGTCCCTGCTGTAGGTGGACTCTGTCTTCTGGCCTGGAAGACACCTCAGCTCATAACTAGGAACACACCCTCCTGCCCCTTGTCCTCCAGAACTATCACAATGTTGTTCTTCTTGCAGCTCTTCTGGCACCCAGTCTGCCCCCTCTCATGAGACCATCCAAGGAGACCCGAGATCAAGACAGATGTAGAGGCAAGTAGCACCAGGCATGGAATAGGCAGCTTGAAGGGCACCTGGGGTTTTTGTAGCCTCATCAATCACTGTGGTTCCAGTTAGCACTGTGGTTACTGGTAAAGCCAAAACCCAGCAGGCAGGTGAGTGGGGGCTGGGAACAGACTGATCATGAGGGTAGTGGAGGCAGAAAGAGGTAGAAGCAGAGAACATGGGGGAGAGGAAGGGGCAAAGAGAAGAGGCGGCTGCAGACATGGAGTGTAGCCAGGAGCAGAGTGGGGTATCTTCAACTGTAGGTCTGAAATTTCTTGACTTGCATGAATATATCACCTCAGGAAGGACCACTTGCTAAGGCCGTCTACACCCCTTTTAGAGACAAGAGCACTTGTAGGTTGGAAGCTTATGTTGCTCCATCCTGCTATCCACATGCTTTCTTCAGTGATCATCATAGAGATACCTTGATACAGGCAGTTCCTGACCCCCAGAGCAGTGACTTGCCTCATGGAGCTTATCTACATCTGGAAGTTTCTTTTGTTGATGGAATTTTCACATGTTCACTGTTGATTTTCACCTTGAGTGGGGAATTCTTGGGGGCAGGAATCCAGCTATGTCTATTTTGTGTGTCCACCAGGTACAATGCCTGATCTTCTCTATATGTCCCTTTCTGGCTCTGGGCTCTCAGGAAAAACATATGTAGGGGGACATAAAAGAAATTCTAACAGTAAAGACTTCCAGTTTTCATTTCACTGAGACTTGCTCTGGCTGCTTCCCACATTGCCCAGGTAGCAGAGATCCATGCTAATGTTAGGTAATTACAGTGGTAGGGGAAGTAAAGCCACTATATGGGCACTCAGGAAGGTGGACATGCACACAGACCTTAGACTTCAGGCAGAGAGTGGAGCAGTGAGCTGACAGCACTCATCACTACTGGGGCATTGATGTAGGTGGGTCATTGACCTTTTGTAGGCTTTAAGAACGAGTTTGTGACATGTCTGTGTGGGGGTGAGAGAGCTTCTATGTGAGGAACAGCCACAGGAAGGTCAAGAGGCAGCATGTTCTTTACTATGACTGGGCTTAAGGGTGGCTTGTGACCCAGTGATTTGTTCATGTGACAAAGGATTATATAATCTGGAAAGAGGTTGTTTAGAATTTCATTCTTAGATGGTTCTATCTGGGGTGGTGTGGAGGATGAGAAGATGGCTTTGGTTCACAATGGAAGCATGTTAGTAGTGACTCTGGACTATGAGATAGCTAGGGACAACTACAGAGTGAATGGATTATGGTGAGGATGTTTACATAAGGAGAAGGAGATGTGGGATATCTTATAGGGTGGAGGAGGGATTTTGAGGTGGTAAGTGAGTGAGGGAGGACATTGGGGCCCTCAATAGAACAGAGGCGAGATGATAAGCAACCATTACATTGTGGAGTAGGAGATGCTACAGGGTCTTAAAAGGTGGAAAAGAGATAGTGAGGAACCCCTATGAGGTGAAGTAAGAGATATAAGAGGCACTACTGGATGGAAGTGAGATGGTAGAGGGCCTTAATATGATGGTTGAGAGCAATGAGGGTCTCCTATAGGATGGGGAAGGGGGATTTTTACATGATTGAGAAGAGCAGTCTATAGAGTTCCATTGGTAACCCAAAGATCTCTGACAGATCAAATTCCACTTTGGGAGCTCCTTCTGAGAAATATGAGCAATATTGTTCTATATCATTTATAGCCTTGGAAAGCAGAGAGAAAGTCACTCATAAGTCAGAATTGGATAGACAACAGTGAGTTTTGCATTTACATTTTACAGAGCGAAGGATTAACTGTGAAGGAGTGAAATTTTCTTTGAAATGGAAGGGGCATGGTGATAGGGTGTTGTAGGATGGAAAGGGGACATTGATGGACCCTACAGATTCCCTAAGAGGAAAAAGTTAGAGGGCAAATTGAGTGGCCATATAAGGATGATGAGTGGCTCCTGAAACATGGAAGAGGATATGTTGAAATATTTTCAAAAGGTATGAATGATAAAGAATCTCTACAAGACAGGGAGGCCCTTACATAAAGGGTCCTTACAGAACTGCACGTGGACTATGAATGAAGTTGTGGAGTAGGCTTCAGGGCTAAGTGGAACCTGCAGGGCTTGGGATCAAGGTTGGAGCACAGGTGTACAACCTGAGTTCCTGCAGGTATTTTGAGATGCTTCTGAGAGACAGAGCATAGACAACAGGAAAGATTGTGGTCTAACCCTTAGACAGCTGAGACGAGGTATTATAGTGACCTTGTGGCTACTTTTGAGCAGTAGACTATGCTTTGAATGTGCTTGGTGAGTATCAAGCAGATGTAGTGGGTTTAAGAACAGGGAAAGACAGAGAGAAGAAAAGAAACTAAGTTGGGCTCTTCTAGATTGTCAAGGGAGATGAAACAGAAAGACCAGGGGTGGGAGAATCTGCTTAGGTGCCCTTGGAGAGGGTCACTCACTGGAGATTGAGGTAGGAAGAGGATGAAGGAAATAAAAATGTACGCTGGACACTGGAGAGGTCTGGTCCAGAAATGGGATCCCTGAATTCACCCAAGTTGGACAACAGGAAAGGATTATGCCTCTGCTTTCTTTAAAGTTGGGCTCCTCAAAATCTTGGCACATAGGTTCTTCCCACTGATTGGGCAGGGCTTTCTTTGGTGCTTCTAGCCTCCAACCTCATTTATCTTCCCTCTTTATCCTGTGATCTCAGTACTAACTCTGGGCACTTCCGTCTCCCATCCCTGGGGAGTGAGGTTTACATCCCAGGCCCTTCAGAAAGCACTGGCTGCTGCATTTCTGAGAGAAAGGGAGTAGCCCCACTTGTTGGGCTGATTAAAATTCAACTTGACCTGGCAGACTAGCAATCACAAATGACCATACCCTGGTCTCTTAACTTTCATAATGAAATAGTGCCTTTAGGGTTCTTTGAGCCTTTTAGACAGAGTAATCTTTCTCAGATAAGGCTGTCATGTGCCAACATCCCACAGACAATCAATTGCTGTCCTTCTGCCTAGGACATGCTTCTTCTGAAATGTCCCATGAGCCACTTTTGGGTGAATGCACCAACCTCCATCACAAGTATACATTGAGGAAAACAGTGCATGGGGTATGCCCTGCAGACCACATGTGGTATCTGGATCACCATGATGAAGTAGTTAGAAAGGGCCCATCAGCTTGGCTCAGTCTACCTCATAGCCTTAACCAATAGCTGTAGTCGCCTAGTGGGTCCTCACCTCAACTTCCTTCTATACAGTCTAACTAGAGGAGGTGTCGTGACTTTGTTGCTCCAAAATGGACTTGGAGATGAACTGAGAGCAAGAGGGAGGACACTTCAAATACTAGAGACTCAAAGCTATTCATTGGTTAGGATAATTTTATTGAGTAGACTGAAAAAAAAAAACCCAGCAGGAAGCATGTACAAGTGGACATGTTGCATATCACTTTCTTTTTTCTTTTATTGTCATTTAAATGGAATTTAATTAATGACATGTATTTGTTTTATAACATTAATTACAGTTAATTATGAGGCTCTTGCTGCAGAAGATCAAGAACTATAGCCACCTATATGGACTGAAGCTAAATGTCAAGAAAACAAAGATTCTAACCACTGGGCCAATTGGCAGCATCAGCATGGATGGTGAGGAGATTGAGATAGTTAACAGTTTTAATTTACTTGGCTCCACAGCCACGCTCTTGGTAACAGCAACCAGGAAATCAGGAGATGAATTGCATTGGGAAAGTCAGCTGTGAGGAACCTCTCAAGAGTACTGAAGAGCAACGATGTCAGGCTGGAGCCTAAGGTACGCCTGATCCGGGCTATAGTCTTCGCAATTATGTGCTATGCATCAGAGAGTTGGACAGTGAATAGGGTTGATAGAAAGAGGATTGATGCCTTTGAGCTGTGGTGCTGGAGAAGAGTGTTGA